TGTGTGTGTGTGTGTGTGTGTGTGTGTGTGTGTGTGTAGCCTCATCGAAAATGGCACACAGCTGCTTACGAGGAACGCCGGAGTAAAAAGAAGACATTGTGGGGAAACGTTTTCCTGTCAGGCAAATTTGTCTGAGCTGTAAATGTATTAAAATAAACACGAGAAGTAATGACTTCACGAGGTTCTTGTGACCACCGGTTGTCCTCAACAATAATCACAAACATTTTTTACTACAGATTATCATAAAAACTGTTTATATCTTTCCATCACAGCCAAAATCCACATGAGCAGCTTGGTTGTTTTTCCAGTTTGAGGAGCTCTAAGCGTGTATTTGCTGATATTACTGGACGTTCTAGTCTGCTATAAAGGGGTTTTTTATGTGCTCTGTCAGTTATGTATCTTAGCAGCACATGTTTGTATATGTGAGAAATCGGCAAATACCGACGTGTCGACTTAAAGAATAGACAGTCGGAGCCTTGCTTTGAGAGCTCAGTAAACCACATTAAAACCTGCCACTATTTAGAAAATATGCATGTCTGTAATCTTTAGAAATCTGCTTCAAGCCATGAGTGATGCACTTATGCATTTTTCAATGGCTAAACACAGAGAGTTAATCAGCCTGCGGTGATTTACGGCATTTCATATTTTTCACATCTGGAGTCCATATAAACAGGAATATTTAAAGGAGCACTTTACTGCTCTCCGCATACTTCACTGACAATCGGACCGTCTCACCGCAGAGAGCATCCATGGTGCTAACCAGGAATCGATTGGAGATTCTCTCCATGCTTATTGGCACCTCTGGTGAAGATTTAAAAAGCCTGAAAAAATTTAGCTCTTATTGCTAATGGATATAAAAATGGCAATTGGCTTGATGGATAAAAACACATTTCATTTCATAAAACACAATTGAACTAACAAAATCAAATGGTACCAGTTGAAGTCAGGTAACACTTAGCAAACACCACATTTATGTTTGTGATGGTAGGACTAATTTTACAGGAACGCTGCAAAATCAGTATTTTTGTCTAGTGTCTATTACAAATATGTTACATTTGAAGTAAGATAAAACTAACTCAGAAACAACTTTTCAGCAAGACATAAGAGCTTGTTTTTAGTCAATTATGTAACATTTATTAAAAAGTTCTTATAACGTTGGAAAAATGTCTTGTTATAAGTGAAATAATCTGCCAATGGAATAGTACATTTCATTAATATTAAGAAATTATTTACTTAAAACAAACTCCTATTTTGTGCTGAAAAGTTACTTTTGTCTTATTTCAAGTGTACTAAGATATTTACACCAGAAACTGGACCAAAACACTTGGTAAGATTTTGTGTTTTTACAACGTAGATGTATTTTTAAATAGTGGTTATTAAAACTTGGCTACCTTAAGATGCTAACTCTACTGAAGTTTTCTAACAGTGAGTTTTTTTTTTTTTTTACTATTTTAAATTTAACCGATGAACCTGTATTCTTGTTCTTGAGTTATTTTAAAGTTTTAATAATCACTCAAACTGTGGACGTGGACAAGTTTAGGAATGATTCAAAGTCCTCGTTTTTTTAAAAATTCACAGTCAAATTATCTGGCTCGAGGTACCGCGCTGTGTTGCACCCGGACGATTATTCGTGTTACGCAGTGCTCTCATTTCCGCCAACGAGCTGTTGACGAATGCTAAGCGCTGTTAGCAGCTAAGGAGCAAGACGTGGATGGAGAGAAAGGAACGCCGCCAAGAAAAAGGCAAAAGGCGTCAAAATTTTGGAATAATTTTAAACTAAATAGAAAAAAATAACACAGCTGAGTGTGTGGACTATAGAACTGAAATCGCGTTGACACGTCCTGGATGCTGCGACACCTCAACAGGAAACCCACTACGTGCTTCAGCTCCTTAACTGCTGATAACAGGTGACGCTTTTCTTATTAAATGTTTTTGTGATTGTTAATACAGAATTAGATATACTTGCCGATAAAGAAGAGTTAAAAAATTAAAATATATTTAACTATGTTTAGCTTGTGACTAAACGTGAAATGTCATATAATGCAGTGTTTATTGATGCTTTAATTCAAGTTTGCTTTGTAATTTTTTAAAAACGTAATGTGAAATGTTTTATGTCTCATTGTTTTTTGTGCTTTAGAAACGTTTTTCACACATCAGATTTGAGACTAAAAGAATCGTTTTGCATTTTGTTTTCTATTTTTCATTTGGATTTTCTCTTTTATATATTTATTTTACAAGCTAATACAGAATATTTTATTAAATTACTCAATAAATTGTGAGAATAATCAACAGATTATTCAATTACTAAAATAGTTTGTTGTGGTTTTTGTGTTACTATTTTCAGATTAAAGTCAACACAAATCTGCTTTACTTTGACATGTTCTCTTGTTTTTCCCATTCTGAAGAATGCCATTAAAAAAAATTGGCGATATTTTTACCCCCTGGAAAAAAAATCATAAATGGCAAAATAAAAGTAAACAATAAATGTAAAAAGTGTTTCAGTTACACTTATCTTAAAGGGAATGTTATGAATCCAAATAAGTGTCGGTAAATATTTAAATCTTAACACGCAATTATTTCCCCTGGCATTTAAATAACGTTTAGATGTTTCTAAGTATCTCAGAGCAGGATTCTGCTGCTGCGTTTATTTTAATTTTATTTTACACATCTGTACCAGCGGAGCTAAGAAGAAGACAGGAAGGCTACAGTCCGTAACTTCACGCTAACTTTACCCAAACACACTTGAAATGACTCTCAGCTCCTCAGGCAGTTTTAGATGCTCAACACAGGCAAGTGGATAAAATATTTATATTAATTTCTTTTCAAAATTAGAATCATTTAAACTTTTATCCAGACTCTATAACATCCCTAATCAAAATTATCCTGCGCATAACTGTGCCAATTCGTATTTTTAAAAGTTTGTTGAGACTCTGGCAATAAAATTTCCAATTTAAATTTTAATTGAACAACAGAACATTTGCGTTTTGAAGCTGATATTAATTTTCAATGTGGTTTGAGAAAATGAGTCTTTGTCAGCACAAGAGTTATCAAGCACATTATAAGATACAGCGCGTTTCAGCGAACGTTTCGGCTGCGGAGCTCTGTGCAGAAACATTACAAATGTACACACACTTCATTAATGAAATGGATTCACATCATCAGCAAATTATACAGTTTAGTTCTTCAGCGTGATTCCTTTTTAGGGAACCGTGAACTTAGCAACTTATCTAATAATTCATATTCCCTGCTAACCCTGTGTCTTCTGCGAGCGGATGCTGACTTTGTCTACCGGTTCACGCCGCCTCTGCGTTCTGCACCTGAGAGATACCGAAGCAATTAACTGCATGAACAAATGTTACCTTTAAACAGACGTGAGGAGGAAACTTTAGGTGTGTTTTCCACCGGTTTGCCCTCACGGACAGAAAGTCGAGTTCATGGGAATAATTTGTGACCTTAGATCATTTACTTTCATCTTAGTCTGACAACAAATGAGAAGTTTACACTGCAAAAACACAAAATAGTAACAAGTATTTTAGTCTAGTTTCTAAGGCAAACATATAGTTGACTTGAAATAACACAAAATTATTTCCAAGTTACTTTTCAGAAAGATATAGGAGCTGGTTTTAAGTCAGTAATTCCTTAATATTGATGAAAACATTTTAGTTTCACTGGCAGATTATTTCACTTATAACAAGACATTTTTCCTATAAGTTAAATAATCTGCTAGTGAAACTATTTTATATCAATATTAAGGGATTATTGACATTAAACAGTCCCCTATATATTGCTGAAAAGTTACTTAAGTTTGTTTTGTCATATTTTAAGTGAACTAACATATTTGCCTTAGATACTAAACTAAAATACTTGGTAAGATTTTGTGTTTTTTGTCTCGTTTCTTGTGCAAATACTTTTATTACACGTAAAATACAACAAAACAAACTAAGAAGTACAAGATATAGGAAGATGTCTTGCTATATCTGCAGCAGGATATGAGCTTGTTCTGAGTAATTAGCTCCTGAATATTGATAAAAACAACTGGCAGATTATTTCACTTATAACAAGACAAACGTCCCCATATTTTAAGTAAAATGGAACTAAAATGTTTTCATTGACATTTAGAAATGTTAAGCTCCTATATCTTGCTAAAAATATATTTTACATTAGTTCACTTAAAATACAATAAAACTAAGATATTTGCAGTAGGAACTAGACAGAAAGATTTTGTGTTTTTGCAGTGAATTTGCTGAAAAAGACCCAACAAAAGATAACCGTTCCTGTTGTGTTGCAGTGGGAGCTGCAGCGTTGACGCTGTGGATTGTATCTGCGGTTTGCTTCAGATGAAAATAATCCCCTCTCCCAGACCCGCCGGCTTTTGCCCCTTGAAGGAGCACAAGTCTTTGATAACGACGACATGTTTTAGACGAGTGGCCCCCCATCCTCCCATCCTCCTCCAGCTCCCTCCTAAACTCTTAATAAATAGCTTCAAACATAAGAGATCCCAAATCAGCTCTTTGAGCGAAAAGGAAGCATTGCAAGAGCATGAGATCAACCCCTGGATTATTCTTCCCCTGGCTGAAAAGCAGCGCTCTCCAGCCCTCGCCCGGCTATAATACCCATTGGTTGCCACAAGGAACGCTATTCGGATTAAGTGGTGCCCCTTTCATGCAAGCAACAAGTGACAAAGGGGGAGATTGGGCAACTAACCTGCTGTTTAGATAAATAAAGGTACTCTATCAGCTCTAATAATTGCTAACCCCCTCTCCTTTGGGCCCATTGTCCACTGACAAGTGCTGCTTGGCCTCCGTCTAATTGCTGACAGATTTGATTTTTCAGCGACAGCGGGGGATCTGTTTGTGGCCTCCGCATTCCCCGTCCCCCTCCAACGCCACCTATTCTGTCCCGTCCTTTTTCCAAAAAAAAAAAAACCCAAAATCCTCCTTTTTTTTCTGTTTGAACTTCTAAGCGATTAGAAGTTTTTTGGTTACTTTTAAAGAAGTTTCCAGCCGGCATACGATTCTCACAGCGATGGCGACTTTGAGTAAAAACACAAAAATTAAAGAAAGAGAATCTGGTTATTTTGAACAGAAACACAGAAATGGTTTCTGTATAACTCAAAAATATTCAATAAGCTGAGTTTAGTTGTAGTTTTCGAGATTGACAGGATGTTATTCTTAATTTGCTCGTCTATTCTTTACTTGTTATTAATGTCACTGTGTAATTAGTCATTTTGGCTCCAGGCACCGCCTGCATGTCAGGAGTCGTTTATAAAGTTACACAATCAATAATTTTGGTTATTTAGCTCATAATAAGAGAAGAAAGTAGGGGTTAATTTTTAAAAGTCATATTTTCACCATTTTATTCCTTCAGCTAAAGGCAAGTTCACTTGCCAGGAACCGGAAGTAGACTATCAAAATAAAAGCTGAGTCTCTCTTCTCAAACTCCTGCTTGTGATTTGGCGCATTAATTTAGATTCAATGGTAAATGTATAAATTTAGAAAAATAGATTTGTTAAAGCAGATTATAATCTGTTTTAATCTGAAATGTTGTAGAAACAATGAAAAGTTCAAAGTGAGTCAGTTGTGTTTGGTTGTCCACTTCATGTAATCAGCAAAGGAATCTGCATATTAGCTAAATATTTACCATTGAGTTAAATATTTAGTGTGAAGCAAAATGTTTGCTAGATAAATATTTAGTTTGTCACTAAAGTAGCAAGCTGCTTACTAAATATTTAGTTTGGAGCTAAATTAGGAAGCTAAATATTTAGCTTGATAACCTGGTATTTATTTTTCAAGCTAAATTAGCAAGCTAAGTATATAACTTACTAAATATTGAAACTGCAATATTTATAAATAAACAAATAATGTGATGAAAATGTAACTTTGAAAATGAACCCCCGTTATTTCCCCTAAATAATCCAAATCATTGATTACATTTTTTATTTTGCTGCTTTTCAAACAGCATCTCATACCTGTATTTTTAAATCTAAGAGTCTAAGAGAGAAATATTTCCAAACAGTCGAGAATCTTCTTTTCCTCTTCACATCTAGGTTTTTTTCTGGCATCTCAAACAAATAACTTTTATCAGGATGAACGATATGATGAAGATCTAAAAACTGTGCTGCTGAGCTAATTTTAGCTGAAAAGACATAAAAGTTGAAAAGACGTCCAGGTGAAAATGTCTGCTGATGCGTTTAATGGCGGTTGTGGTCAACTAAACCTAAAATTCAACATCATTTAAGCTAAACTTGGATGGGATGTTTGAACCGAAAAGGCTAAAGAGCCATAATCGCCACATGTTTAATTTCCAGGAAGTCGTAAAAATAAAAAAATCCAACATCATAGATCAGTTCAGTTCAAGTCTGAGTTTCTTTTTTTAAAGACGAGCAAATTCACATATTCATAAAACAGAACATGAATAAAACTGATCGTAAATGAGACTCTTTCAGCTTTTTACACACATCTGGTAACCAGAACATCAAAATATGTGCTCAAATTATATATGGCTGTTATTAAAAAGCGAGGGGTAAATATGAAAGAAGCGAAGCCTGACGGAGAGAAAGGAGTTTCACAGTTTTTGTTTAAGGAAGCCGCTTTTTTCTGAGGTTATTATTCCATCCAGCCACTGTAATTATAAAACTACACATACTTTCTGGATAGTAAACAAACGATCATTACGATGTAGAGCGGAAACCGTGCATTCATTAAGGGAATTCGCTTAAAGGATGAATTTAAAAGGATTTTCTCTTTTATTTTAGTTTTAAATGGCTGTGTAACCTTGTTCCTTTTGCCTCAGCGACACATTTTTTATTTTTTTTTTCCAAACAGAAAGTGTTGTTTCTTGGGTTGGCGGCCTTCGCTGCTCTCCTCTGACCTGCAGGCTGCATGTAATGAACGCTGGCAGTACCCCA